CCTTGTAAAATCACAAAGTAACTGTAAAGAACAACAGTTTTGGGAAAGCTCAGTTCAATTTCACAGGCAACAGCCAAGCACCACATTTGTTGAATCAAGGAATCACAAAAATACAATCTGTCAGACAAAATGAAGTAGGCTACAAGATCTCAAGAAACAAACATCATGCCACGAGACAAAGAAATTCAAGAAGAAATTAGCATTATTGGAATCTATCAGTCTGGAAAAGGTTACAAAGCCATTTCAAAGAGTCTGGGGCTCCAGTGAAACCACTGTCAGAGCCATTATCCACACATGAAGAAAACTGGGAACACTGCAAAACATTCCCAGGAGTGAACCTAGAACAACACCCAAAGGACTCCAGACCTCGCTGGCCTCAGTTCAGGTCAGTGTTTACGAGTCTACCATAAGAAAGACACTGGCCAAAAATGGCATCCATGGGAGAGTTCCCTGGTGAAAACTACCGCTGTCCAAAAAGAACACAAAGGCTCATTTGCCAAAAGACATCATTCTGTGGTCTGATGAGTCAAAAGTTGAATTTTTTAGTCGATGTGCGGCCCATTACTTCTGGGTTTAAAAAACAGCATTTGATAAAAAGAACATGCCAACCAGGAAACATGGTGGTGGCAGTGTGATGATCTGTGGCTGCTTTGCTCCCTCAGGACCAGGACAACTTGCTGTGATTAATGGGACAATAAATTATAATAATAATAATAATAATAATAATACATTACATTTATAAGCGCCTTTCAAAACACTCAAGGACACTTTACAATCAAAACAAGAACAATAAAACCACAGATAAAATTATAAATAATAAAAGGAGAGATGAAATTCTGCTGTCTCCCAGAAAATCCTTTGGTTATCTCTGTGTGATATTAAAATTGTAATGAATGGCATGTGTTGAAGATATGTTCCAACACACTTGAATATGCTGTTTTAATTTACAGTCTGTTTTTCTGCAGGGGACATCAGTGTGTCAGGCGACAGCTGTAGGAGCATTGGTGATTCTCCTCTACACATCGAGAGCTTGTTACAACCTGGTGGTGGCGGTGTCTCCACTGGGCAGACCTGATTTGTGCAACTACAGCTGGTACAGTGGTTCAGATCAGGTGAATGGTCATTGCTCAATTTAGGGCTGGGTGTCAGTAAAACTTTTCTATTTATTTTGCTGCGTTTTTTTTTTTACCCATTGTAATATAATGGCTGTCAAACAAAAAGAATGATAAAATAAAATCAACAGTTCCTAATAGAGATGGTCTCATCAACACGATACAAAAATCCAGTACAACACCATGCAGCTGTTCCACTTAGAGCACGCCAAAATTTCATCTCATAATATGACCCAAAAAACGCAAATAAAAATGTCATTAAAAAAAATGTGAATATGATACTACCCAGAGATGTTTGCCAGTCAAAAACTGGCTGCAACAATTTTCCCTCTGACCAACTCGAGGACGGAAAAATGCTGAGGTCTTTGTTTCTGACAACTTCTGTTTAGTTTTCACTGAAAACACTTAGGAGAGCAGGTTTTATGCTTAGATCGCTAGAGACTATCAAAGAGTGAACTTCACTGTTTGCACCGATCATTCAGAGTATATAATCTCCCATACCGTGAGTTGTGAGTTATAGAGGTTATGTTTACATATCACATCAGATTTTCTCCTGATGGGCTGTACTTTCATTTCATTGTTCGTAGTTCTGACTTGATGCAGACGAATCTTTGAGGAGCTCTCTGAAAAATACCTTATAATAAAAGATTTAAATTGCATTCTTACGGCTGAAATGTGCATGTGGCGATTCCCCCACTCTTCATGGTACAACCATATTCCATATATGGTGGCATTTTTGCCATAGACACAGAAAGTCATGGGAAAACACCACCTAGAAATCAATGTATTCAATTTAGGCGAGTTTAGCGTTAGGCAACACAAGATGGCTGCCATTGGCTTCACTTTGACGAGTAAGCGCCATTGTAAGTCCAATCACATACTGTACTGTATATACGTCCGTGTATGGGAAGAGCGCCCGGCTTCTTCGCATTGTGCCTTTGAAGCACAGCACTGCCACCTGCTGGCAGCAGCTAACTACTCTCGTGGTTCCACCGTTAAGTCGCTTTTCTGTCTGACCAGAAAGACTATTTCACACACATTCAACAACTACAGTAGACAATGCAGTCCATGTTTGATAAAACGTGTTTCTTTGTTCTTTATTGGTTATATAAAAACGTATTTTGTGTGGAGGGTACTCGACAACTACTTGCGTCAATTAATGTGTCCTTGGTGACGAGCCACGCAAGACACTGACTTGTGTCAGCCGCTCTTCCCTTTCTTGTCCGTGTGTTTGAAAAGGAAATACGCTAGTTTTATTTATTCTAATGATGAAATCCTTGACATTATATTGATTAAAAAAATCAAAGTAAAGGACAGACCACAGAACTAAAATGTACAGTTATATCATGTATTTACTATTCGTTTTTCTTTTAATTAATTCTTCGCTTGCAGTGGAGGGGACAGAGAGGCCTGCCTGCCCTGACTGCACGTGCCGTATAAAATATTTTAATTGTGTGTGCTTATGTTGCAGGCTGATGTTCTGAAGTTCAGCGATGAGGCCTACATGGTTTATGGGATTATTTTATTCTTTTGGGAGCTGCTGCCTACCAGCTTGATGGTGCTTTTCTTCCGAGTCCAGAAGCCCAAACAGAACCTGGTAAAATTAAAAATAATCATGAACATGAACTACAGGTGGATACACAGTTTAGTAGTGAAAGAGAATTTGTTGTAATCTGTCACTGGATGTCTTCGTCATAGACATATTACTTGTATTAAGGTGCGTACAGTACAATTGCGAACCGTGATTCTTGGCATACTGTCCTGTTTTGTTTTTAGTCTCCAACAAAAATAAAGGAATGGACCTCACAGTACCATTCCGTTACAAAGACAAAATGGCACAACACGTTTTAACAAAGCTTTGAACGTGTGCCAGGTCCCCACAGGAATCCTCAACAGCCACACATTTGGCTCCAGGGATTCTTTTTTTGACAACCCAAGACGATACGACAGCGATGACGACCTGTCCAGAAGCAACAGGGGCGATCGGGCCAGGTGCGAACCGCCGTGCATGTACACACACACACACACACACACACACACGACGACCAAAGATTTTTATGTCATCGACAAGAATTTGATGAAAGTCGAGTCAAATTCAGTTACTACTTGACGTCATTGATGTCAGTGCAGTGATCCCCGATTTTTAATTTGGGCCCAAAAAAAGACTCGTCAATACAAGATACATCGGAATACGCCGTTGTTGATCGCAAATCTACAGTCACATTAGTAAAGTCGGAATTGCGCACTCCCATCCTTCTCCTTTGTCTTTTTTCAGCCTGCCGTCCTCCACGGCGCAGCCCAGCTGCGTGTCCAGTTGGTACGGCTCCATCCAGTGTAACGGGACCCCGGCATCAACTCAGCCTTCCTCCACGGCCCCCCTCCTGTTCGCTTACGGAAACATCCAGAGCGCCCAGCACCACCACCACAACTACTACTCCACTCCGCAAAGTAACCACCACCATCACGGTTATTATCACTCCACCCCTCAGAACTGAAACCAAACGGAACTAAAGCCCTTTCGTTTTGGAACCAATAGAGGAACCGAATCAAGTTTCCCCCGCAACGCATCGTGACTGAATGTGATCTGCAGCCGATTCATCGTCGCAAATATCAACACAGTACTACTTAACTCTATTTGCACCATCTCATTGTAGATGTCACAGTAATCCAGAATAAGATTGTTGTGGTCCACGGGAAGGACAGTTTGGCCCACCCAAAAAACTCTTTTATAAGCTTTGCTGCAACCTTTTGCACTTGGATTGTTTATCCTCTGAAAGAGGGAGGAGACGTCACGTCAAATCTCATACTTCTCATTCCTTACGGAAAACGTTTGCACACAATATAGTCAAGTGATGATGTATGTATGGTAGTGGTGGACAAGTGACGCTTCGTGAAGCACTTGTGTAAGTTTTTGACTCCTCTCGAGGGCACTCTTGGTTTAAAGATGCAGTGGAATTTGAATACATTTCCATTGCACTAACCTTTATATTCAAACCAAGAGCACCATCTAAAGGTGTCGAAAAGTATCCCAGGTGCTTCACGAAGCTTCGTTTTCCCATCATTAATGTATGGAGTCATTTGCATGTTTCCGGGTGAAAGTCGGTATGTTTGTGATCTTAACAATGAGAAATGCTTTTATATGCTTTTTTTTAAACAAAATATTCACCATAGCTTTACTGATTTAACACATTTGTCGGTTTTGGTCATTGCATTTTTGTGTTTGGTGTCCGACCGAGTTTCTGAAAGCAAGTTAACACGTTTGCGTGTTAAATCTCGAAGTGAATTCGATGGGATTCGCCCCGACGTGCTTGATAAACGGCACAGGCAAATGGTCAGAAGGCCAAAAATCTCATGTTCTTCTATTTTTTTTTTCCACATGAAGACGGAAACTACAATAAATAAATAGCTTGAGGTTTCAATCACAGCCTTTCTTTTTCTGAAAGGTGATCCCCAAGGAAATTCCAAAAAAGGAATGCTCGTAGCAAATACCGGTCCCGCAAGTGGGTAGAGTTGAAACTCAAAAACTCCCGCGGAAGCCGCTGCCTGTGCATTCTTGAAATGTGGTCAGTTTGCAAAAACATTGTCGTTCGTAGAAGGAAGTTCTCGGTTCCATTTGACGTGTGCAAAGCAGCTTGCGCGGCGCTGCATCTTAATGCAACAAGTCAACTTGACATTCTGTGATCAGATTCCTCAAGAAAAGTTGTCGTTTAACCAGGACCATATTGAATGTAACCTTTTTTTGTGACAGACAAATCACGAATGTCATGAAAATAAATGTTTGAATAAAGGCTTCCTGCACTGTTTCTGAGAAAAGTCGGCTTGTCTCCATCGTTTTTATATCCTCAGACTCCAGCTAAAAAAAAAAAAAAAAAAAAAGTGACAAGCGTGCAGAGACAAAAGTACCGAGTCATTTAATCATCTGCTTGAAAACAAACCACCACAGAGCAAAACTGACAAACAAAACTCGTTCATCGTGAAGGTGTACTTTACAAAAAAACAAAACTGTGCCAACTGCAGTACTGTAAACAAAACATTCATGAAGTCGGCATAGAAATATTTTCCCGGTGTGGCTCGTCCTCATTGTTCGTCATGGAGCTTGGAATTTAAAATCATTCAAACCGTACCGAGTGCAGTAGTGTAAACAAAACGAATCTTGGGAGTCAGCATTGAAAGACTTTGCGGTGTCGCACGGGGTCACTCGCAATTTCAAACCAAAGAGCCACTTTCAGCTGACTCGAGAAAAACAAGTCGGTGACTTTGCTGATGAAATCAAATCATTTGAGGAAGTGAAAAAGTTAAGTCACAATCGCAAACTTGGTCATGCGCGGCTTAGAAATAAGCACAACCTCAGATTTAGAAAAGAGAACGACAAAGATTCACCGATGGCGATTATTGAAGAAGGCATGATGGTTGTTTGGCCCAATTTGACCGACGGCATAACGATTCACAAAATTCAAACAACCCACTTGCAAAGCAAATGTAACCTCTCTAGATAAAAACAAACAAACAAACAAACAAAACAGCTCAACATTCTTGATGTTCAAATAAATGCACCAAATAGACTCATAACACTGATCAAATAAGAAAAACACAGGCACAAAAAAAGAAGTGTTACATGCTAAAAATCTGTTCATGTCGCTCCATTTTTTTGTCATCATGACAGCTTTGAAACATTTGTAAAACTTTCTCTAGCGCCAAACTTGGTACTCATTAAAAAAAAAAAAAAAAGGCAGGAGGGGGTTGGTAAAACCTGCCAGTGATTTAAAAACCAGAGCTGATGAAGCTCCAGAAAAGGTCAAAGTTCATCAGCGGCATCGTCTTGGCTCCTGTCCAGCGACGAGGAGCTGCTGGGTGGTCTGCAAAGGAGGACCTTGCACTTCTGTCAGGACTCGTCGGCCCCCTCGCGGCTGATCTGGCGATATCCCTGGCTGCCCAATGGCTCCTTGTGGCGAATCATGGCCAGGAAGAGGACCACGATGAGGACCAGCAACAGGCAGCCAAACACTGCCAGAGTGATGATCACCTCTGAGGGGTGGGGAGGAAAAAAAAAAAAAAAAAACATTGACACCTCATCAGAATGGGAATTATTTAGTGTGGCACTCGTAATGCAAAACTATTATATCTCAAATCTTTCCTTGTTGAAAAGAATGGACACGCCATTAATCTGTCCCAGCCGATAAATGAATAAAACAGTCACAACCACAGTAAGCGCAGAAGATAAAGAATATATTCATGTGAGTGTTGTTTCTATTGTTGGTCTTCGTGTGTTGCTGCGCCGTGTTTTCCCTTCTACTTTCCCTTCTGCTCTCTTAGGCAGGGATGAAAACGTTTTTCATCAGATATGTCAGTCAACTTAACAAGATATATATTTATTTTTTTGTGCAGATTTTGAATGTTTTTTTCCCTCCAGCACATCTGGTTTTCATCATAGTACAATGACATAATATGTAATGTAGTCATACTTGGGAATATTTCTGAGTTAGGTTCAGCAACAGGTGGATTTTTTTTTTCCTGAAACGTCATAGCTATAAATTACAACATTTGGTAAAGTCCGTATCGCACAAGCTTTTCTTGAGCAAACTTAAAAAGGAAAATATCTCCAAAACATAATGTGCTGGAAAAAAAAGGAAAAATCTTTTTTAAAATTAGCTATCACAGCTTCTTGTTTCCGTTGTGCTATTTTGTTTGTGGATCAATGGGGGGCAGTACTGCGTGTGTGGAGCTTTAAAGCTGTTTTCCCGATAATGCCGATAAGTGTCGTAGGTTTGATGTTGCAGCGAGTTAGTGTGCGCGCATGAGGGTTCTCCGGCAGGTGTGCTGGTGTAAGTCGTCGAACGTAATCGGTCCAGTTCTGTCACGGTCGGCCAGGTCGCTCTGATAAAATATCTAACAAACAAAATGCCACATGGAAAAGAAAGATCTTAATGACAAAAAAACAAAAAAAACAAAGCGGAGCGATGTCAAGACTGCAGCTCGTCGATTTCAGTTAAGAAAACGAGCACGTCAATGTCTGAAGGCGGTTTTGGTGCAGCAAAACGCAACCAAAGAAAAGCTAACATGAGGCAAACCGCGGGAGGCGTGAAAAACCGATATTTGACGCCGGTGCCTTCGTCACCGGTGTTGTTGTTGTGTTGGAGAGTTCAACGCTCACCTTGATTCCTCCCACTTGAAGGCAACTGGCACTCCTTCTGCCTGTCCTCAGAAATCGACAGCTTTGTAATTTTCACAAAGTCCTCCAGGGGGCAGTCCAAGGAGCAGCCTGGCAGCTGAAGTGCGTAAGGCTCAACCGTGCTGTCGTTCCGGTAAAACATGGACACCGTCAGAGACCTGGGAGCACACAAATCGCCAGTCAGTTGTTCGTGCTTTCCTGTGTCTCCGTAGGCCATGTTTCCAATCATCTGGTGTCGCTTTTTAAGTTTGTGTAATTATATCAGCTTTGGCGAGTGGTCGAAGAACAGTACTGTACTTGAAGAGTGAACGCGAATGTGGTTTTTGGGCCAACCACTAGAGGGAGCACACGTAGCGAGTTGATAGATGACATGGCGCTTCACGCCATTGCCTTTCAGTTATGGATACTATTTTTTCCCCCCCATCTGGATTTGAGAAAATAGGAAGCCTATTTTGTCAGGCCTGAAACGCACTGTCCGCTGAGATTTTGTTCCCGGTGAGACTGCTGACATGATCACGTCGATGTAACGTGTTAGTTTGTATGTTTGTTCACTCTTGTATAATCTCACTTTTAATTTGTGCTAGCATGCTAAATGCGCATCCCCGAGAACTTGAGCGTGAGTTTTCTGAATAAGCGTGAGTTTTCTGAATAAAGTGCCTTTGCTCCAAAAATAAAAAATGCATTCAAATCAATCATATTATGAATTATTGACCTACCATAGGCCCTAATAAAATCATCTCAATGATTTCCACTTTGAAACTGTTCGAGCAGAGTTTACTTGGGTTTTTTTTGTTTACCCTTTCAAAAAAAACTGTGGCTGTTATGATAAGAAAGGGCATAACAACAAAAATATATATAAAAACTATTTTCCAAACTCTGTCTAGAGCTAGATTGCAATCTGACTGTGTGTGTGTGTGTGTGTGTGTGTGTGTGTGTGTGTGTGTGTGTGTGTGTGTGTGTGTGTGTGTGTCCGTGGGTATACTATTAATTATTTCCACACTTGAGCTAGGGGAGATGATGCTTTTTGTCACAAAAAGTGAAGTCTTGGAGCCCTGGTCACTGCTCAATATTGCAAAACACCACCTGACAACGAGCCAGCTGCTGTGTACATGCGTGCTTCCTTCCCGTGTGTATGTGTGTGTGTGTGTGTGTGTGTGTGTGTGTGTGTGTGTGTGTGTGTGTGTGTGTGTATACCCGTTGTCATCTGAATACAGCTCAATCATGTGACAGGAGGCATACGGTGGTTGTCTGCCGTTGAAAACATTCAAGCTGACCTGCAGAGCTGCCACAGTGGTGTCATGCTGTGCAACACGTGCACACACACACACACACACACACACGCACACACACACACACACACACACACACACACACACACACACACACACACACACACGCGCGCGCCCCAATGTAATTACAGCAGTCAACTCTCAAAGTGCAGTATTTTGTATACGTTGCAGCTGCTGTATCTCACCGCAGAAAGCATCATCATTTTCAAATGCTGCCTTCCCTTCGATAAAGCCACCCGGGAAAGATTCTTCACTATTTCACCCAACAGGATCCCTGAAAGCGGGAAACAGACAAGGTCAAAGTCCATTTTCCCAAATCAAGACAGTACTGCACCAAAAAAAAAAAAAAAAAAAAAAACAGCACGCGTGTCTTCACTCGAGATTGGGCGAACCAAGGCCTCCGCGATTGTGACATGAGACCCAACTACAGTCAATTCTAGTCAATGCTGCAACCTGAAACCGGCGCTGTTGCCGGACAACTTAAGGAGCAACTGGTTTTGTTGAGGATTTGCATAACATGTCACACTTGCGCTTGTTTTAAACAGACTGTGTAATTCATTATCTTTGTTTTATGTTTACCTTGGCTGTATACTTCAACTACAAGTGTCAATAACTCTGAAGTCAAGGTACCCTTGTATTTTCAGGCATTCTTGTTGCCGGGCAGTCACGAGTGACGACTCTGAGCCTCACGTTTATTGTGTGATGTGTTGTCTGTCATCTCGACTGGGCGTTAACACAAACCGGTCCGGTCAGACTAACATTTTTTTGTGTGAGTCTCACATTTTAAAAAATATTTGTAAGACATTAAAAATCTTTTTTTTTTTTTTTGTGAACCATGCTGAAAACACACCTCCCTGCAGCCGACTCTTCTCCTGCTGTTTGTAGACACCAAATAAAACCTAGGAAGATCGGAGCACACTTGGATGACTGACAAGTTTTTGGCACCACAGTTTGAAATCCAAGAAAATAAAGAAAGAGTTTCTACCTGGAATCCAAAGTCTTTCAAAAAGTGGAGCCTTTCCCAGAGAGAAGGGGTCACCCAATCGGGAGCTGACTTGTTATGACGTAACTAAAAAAAAATAAAACTTTTTTTAATCCACACGCCATTTTTAATTTTTTTTAAACAGGGGGAAAGCCATTGCAAAGACGACACAACCAAAGTGGAAAACGTGACGTCTTCACCTCGCAGAAGAGGGTGTCGTACACACTCCAGGCAGATTCTACACTCATCGTCTTCAGTCCCGTTTTATTCCGCACCAGATCCAATACGTCCTATGGGGGAAAGAAAAACAAAGGAGTCTGTTTTATCCCACTCCTGCCAAACAAAGATGCTCTATTTCAATTAGTTAAGTCTCATGATGTAATAAATGTAGCGGAAAGGGTGGGGTGGGGGGGGGGGGTTTAACCTGATTCGCGGCTGTGACGTTCCGGAATTCTTCCGTTTGCTCAGTCTCATTCATGAGCTCTTCGAAGCGAGGGCAATCTCGCTGAGGGAAGGACAGCAGCTGAAAAACGTACAGAGATGTTCGCAGAAGTCAAGAATCGCCGAAAGCGCACAAAGAGTTGCGGTATCCTGCTGCCCAGCTACCTTCTCTTCACTTTGCGGAACTGTGTGCACGGGGATGGGCTGCCACATGATGTTTGGTGAGAAAACCTGCTCACCATTGGGGGGGTAAAGACCTGCAAGGGGGTGGGGGGGTTGTCACCTTTGAATCGGAAGCACTTTCGGAGGGGAATTTAAGGCCAAGGACGGGAAGAACAAACGGGTGGCGTCACCTGCAAGGTTGGCCTCGGCGCTCATCAGGGTTCGATCGTAGTCGGTGCTGCGGACAGTGATCTGAGGACACGGAGGTTGCAGTTGAAGGTTGGAATTGACTTTTCTTGCGTGGAGTCATGAGACGGGCCGAATGACTGAACACCTCCCAAACTTATTCATCAGTACAGGGGTACCTCTACTTACAAAATGAGTATGTTTTGGAAGAAATTTCTTAAGTAGAAAATTTTGTCAGTCGAGACGCGTTTTCCATGTAAATGCCCTAATCCGTTCCAAGCCCCCCAAAATTCAGACATAAATGTTTTCTCAAGCATAAAAATGCATCAAAATCTGTAACAAATACATGTTACAATTAAGATTGTTGCATAATAGTTGAGAGAGTTGTGCATCATGTAAAAAAACAAAGAATCGAGTAAAGTACAAAAATGATGGTCATTTAACTTTTAACTGCGTCCTCATTGTTTTTTTCCTCCTCTTTCGTTCATGTTCTTTCTTGGTGGTTTTTGCCTGGCGTTTTGTCAAGAACTGATCCGAGGACGTTTGCTTTTGCCAGCTTTTAACAATCCTTTGAAAATGTCCAAGGCAAACATCAGCATAGGGAGCGATCGCCCGACTGGTGAACACTTTCTCTGGGTGATTCGCATTGACGTAAAACTATCGGAACGGCTCATGGCCCGAGGGGCAAATGACGAGGACGCTGCCTCAACACATAGCTATCTACCTACACAAATAAGACACGTACGGTCGAGGTCCCTCTTAGCCAATGGGATGCCAGGATGATGCTAAGTAATAGCCAATGGCAGAGCAGCTATAAGTATGTTTCGTTCAAGAAACTCGGAGCTGCCACTCGCAGGCCACACTGCATTTTTACCTTCGTATCTTGACATTTCTTTCATAACAAGAGGCAATATTTTCCTGTTGAGATGTTTCGTAACTTGAAAATTTCATATGAAGACATGTTTGTAAGTTGATGTACCACTGTAATGGGGAAAAAAAAAAACCCTGGCGCCTATTGACAGACATGATGAAAAGGTGCAAATATTTACCTCGTGTCTGAGATAGCTTTGATTAAGAAAGCCGTCATATCGCTTCCTGAGAAACTGGCCCAGCTCCAGGTGCTGGCGCATGCCTTCCTAAAGAACAAACAAAAGCATGCGCCATCACAAATAGTTAGTGCGACTCGGATCAAATTCATTTGATTTGCAGTTTCAAATATTTCCACAGCATCTCAGATCTGTATCTAACCTATTGCTTCCTGTGCACAGTCTCTTTACCCTTTAACCCCACAAGACGTATTTGTACGTCTTTTTAAAATTAGGCCCCGCCTACCAAGGACGTACTTGTA